CCATCGTCCTGTGGCTTGGAGTTCTGCCTCTGCTACAAAATGCAGAGGATTAGTGATTAATTTCAGTCCCTTGGCAATGCGGGGCAAGAATATGCTTTCATGCAGAGTAGAATTCTTTCCTTTTTATATTTACATAGCTTACCCTCCTGGGAAGGGGTATAATTCTCTGAAAGGTCTGTGTCCGATCATTGCATACACTGGTTGCTTTGATTATGCTTTCCTGGAGAGAGAATATTTCTGCCAACAAAATATTGCACCCATACAAGTGCTGTTTTACCCTGAAGGCGGGTGGCCTGTAACTATCAGCTCAACAAAGAAAGAAAAATCCTGTCTTGCAATCCAGATGTCTTTATTAGAACAAGTCTAACATTTGGTATTCCAACCTCGAATGCTGCCAGAACATCCTCGCCAACCCCTCTGCCAGGGATGGGAAGGTTTCTCCTCTTAACTTCTCTGAAAATTGTGATTGCGTGGTTCCTGGATGCTTTGTTCCTAGGTGGGATAATTGATCTCCTCTGGAAAGCCAGTGGGAATTGCAGCTGGCTGTCTGAGCTGCAAGTGATAAGCAAACAGGGCTGAGAGTACAAAGAGCGAAGAGGGCTCTATTCTCTCGAAACATGGTGGGAGGGCAGTTTCTCTGCTTTCTTTTCCTGCAGCAAAGAAAGGAATTGTTTGGGGAATGGCTTTGAGAGACAGAAATGTATTCTCCTAAATCAGATTTCTCTTGACCTCTCTCGTTTGCTATAGCTGTGTTCCCAGGGAGACAAAATGAAGATTCATATGACTGTGTTAGCTGTGGCAGGTTTATTTTCTTTTTAATGCTAGGTTTCTGACTTATACAGATATTCCTAGGTCAGAGATGGTTTTCACCAGTGACTGTCAAAAACCTGGTTTTCAGCAAGACGAGGTTGCCCTAATTCCTCCTACCCATACATCTCTTCAGTATGTTCACACAAGGAAGGAAGCGGATTCAAAACCTCATAGAATCATAGAATGTTTTGGGCTGGAAGGGACCCCTAGAGGTCATCTAGTCCAACCCCCCTGCAGGGAGCAGGGACACCTTTAACCAGATCAGGTTGCTCAGAGCCCCGTCCAACCTGGTCTTGAATGTTTCCAGGGATGGGGCTTCCACCACCTCTCTGGGCAACGTGTTCCAGTGCCCTCATTGTAAAGAATTTCTTCCTTATATCCAGTTTAAACCTACCCCGTTTTAGTTTAAAACCATTGCCCCTTGTCCTGACACAGCTGGCCCTACTTAAAAGATTTTCCCCATCTTTCCTATAGGCCCCCTTTAAGCACTGAAAGGCCACAATCAGGTCTCCCCGCAGCCTTCTCTTCTCCAGGCTGAACAAGCCCAACTCTCTCAGCCTGTCCTCACAGGAGAGGTGCTCCAGCCCTCGGATCATTTTTGTAGCCCTCCGCCAGCTCATATCCAGCTTTTCGTCCGTCAGTACCAAGTCTGTCTCGGCAGGGCTGCTCTCGATCCTTTCTTCCCCCAGCCTGTATTGATACTCATCTTCCATGAGGGTTTGTTTTCCCAAGTTCCATATGTTTTTATCAACCTTTTCAATTGAAGGACTAAAAAGACAACTTCCAAAAGTGGCACGCTGAAGTGATCAAAGATTTGGTGAAACTTTGCTGCAGAAGGTCTTAAAATACCTTCTCTCAGTCATACAAATGTGCCTTTAGAGTGATGCTGATTGACTGCTTTCATGTTTGTTGTAGCAGGCTGGCTGCAGCTAAGCTACAGCTGCTCAGTGCCAGTGCAAAATTCTTCGCAGTTGAAGAATGTTCTGTAGTGCAGGATTTTGAGCGGTGCCGCTTTTTGTGTGAATGCCAGAGTGCATGAAATCCGGGGGGGACAGCATGGTAAGGCTTATTCTGTAGGGATATGCTTTTCCTCAGATATGCTAGGCCCTTCTTCAAGAAAAAATTCCCTTTAGGGTTTTACCTGAAGATGAAGTATACTGAATATTAGCTGGTCTAAAGGATATGTCCCCTGGACTTTAAGCTCATGCACATGCCAGTAAGTGCTGACAGTGTCAATGCACTGCTCCATTCAATTTTCTGCCGTACAAAAAGTCCCCCAGCTATATTACCCAGCTTTTATGCTGCACAGTGGTTGTGCACCACTGTAGGAAATTAATATAATAAAACTCAATGTGAGACCTTATAGGAGGAAAAGGTGATATTTATTCTAAACAAAACTGTTTTCAGTCATTGACACTTAGGGGTTTCGCTTGCTCACACTCTCACCGCCCCGTGCAGGCGCCAGGCCCCATGCATCCAGGGGCTGCAGCCAGGCTCGGTTGTGTGCTGCAGGGAGGACCAGGGATGCTGTCTGTCCAGCCTTCACTGTCTTCCCAAGTTATCCCTCACAACAGACTGGTTCTTGGACTGTTTTTTACACTTTCTAGGACTTACCTGTTATTATGGGTGATCTTCCACCTCCGAGTCTTGCTTTTTTCAGCTTCCATCTTAAGCAGTGCTGCTACCTTTTTGTTTCCTTGTTTGGGGAATTTTTATGGCTATAGTCTGCCTTCAGACAGGCTATGGAAGCGATTTGCTCTCTAACTTTAGTGTCTTCCTCCTGTTGTCAGAGGACAGGTCTGCTGCTGACAGTTTGGTTGTGCTTTCGTGCACGCAGATGTTTCCATTCATAGTTCATCCAGACCAGTCTTAGTACTGGTTAGAAATTTGTACAGCGGTGGATATTTTCTTTGATGTATGTACTTAAAAAATCTGCGGAAGAGGACAGTTACCCACTATAGCAGGTGCCTACTGGGTAGTCTCAGGACACCAAGATTACTGCAAGGATAAAATTTCGCATGCAGAAATAACTCGCAGACAAACCCCTGAGATTCAACAGCAATCTCCAGCCTCCATCCTGGCTCTTGCACAACCTACATCTTGTTTTGGCTGGGTTTTGCTGCAGCTGCACGAGACCATGTACAACATTCAGAAAGCAATAGATTCTGGACTTCGCGTAACTTACTCCTGCCAACCGCTTTTCTTTCTGAAAATGGAGCAGAAAGACAAAAATGGACCTGGAACAAAAGGCTGCTAGCTGCCATAGTCCCTAATAAGTGCTACTCGTCGGCTTTTTTGTTCTTGCTGGCTACTGCTGAGATGATTAAGTTGTGGAGAGCCAAGGTGACTTTTACCGTAGAAAAGCACAGCAGGTGATGACTAGCAAAGACTTAGAGGATTGTTCTTGGCATATCTGAGATGAGTCTGCCTGTCCAACAAGGAAGCACCTCGTTGTTAGCTGTAGCACCTCTCTCTTCCCATCGTGAGGGCAGCACCAGCCTGAGCCCTGCCTGAATCACGGAATGGCAAGGGTTGGAAGGGACCTTGGGAGATCATCCAGTCCAACCCTCCTGCTAAAGCAGGGTCACCCAGAGCAGGTTGCACAGGACATCGTCCAGGAAGGGTTTGAATAGCTCCAGAGAAGGAGACTCCACTGCCCCTTTGGGCAGCCTGTGCCAGGGCTCTGTCACCCTCAAAGTAAAGAAGTTCTTCTGCATATTCAACTGAAACCTCTTATATTTTAATTTGTGCCCATTGCCCCTTGTCCTGTCTGGCTGGGCACCACTGAGAAGAGTCTGGCTCCGTCCTCGTGACATCCACCCTTGAGATATTTGTACGCGTTGATGAGATCCCCTCTCAGTCTTCTCTTATT